GAGCACCTATAGAGCTACGTAGAATTTACGTCTCTCGGTCTAACATAATCAATAGAAAACAGGGTGTCTATTTAAACATGAGCATCCACTAAAAATAGTGTTTAAAGCAAATAAAAATATCGGATTAAATTATGAATGCTTTTAAATCTTTATATATATATATATATATATATATATATATATATATATATATATATATAAGCATTTCACCCCAAGCAAGGCGGGAAGCGACTAGGACGCAAGGGGTTACAGAAAATTTAGAGCAAGATCAGATAGGAGTGATAGAAGAAAGGATGAGGGTAGTGGATAGATCAAGGCCACTGGAGATGTCGATTGACATTGCATTTGAATAGCTGGAGGTTATAGCTCTCAGGGAAACAGGAGAAGGGAAGAGAGTTCCACAGGCGAGAGGTGCGAGACATGAAGCTATTAGAGTAGAAGAGACGGCTACATTTAGGAGTTTCGACAGTGAAGGGTTGAGAGCGGGATGCCAGCCTCGTAGGGCGCTGGAACTCATGACGTCTGGGAACCAGCGAATGCAGTTCCTCGGAGCAATTTCCTTGAAAGTATTTGTAGAACAGACAGAGGGAGGTGACAGCGCGTCAGTGAGAAAGTGACTGTAGACGAGACGCCAGGGCAGGGCCAACCACATTATATATATATATGTGTGTGCTAACTATGCGAATTAAAAAAATATATATATATATATATATAAATTGAATAAAAAGAGTACTAAGTCACTGCCGATGCGTTTAGTCATTTGAATTTATCAAGGGAAGTCATGATATACAAATGTTGTGTAGTTACATAAAATTCAAAAATTTTAAAAATATTATATGTATATATATATATATATATATATATATATATATATATATATATATATATATATATATGTGAACATATGTCAACCCTTAGAGGTGACAGTCTGTTTTTGCGACAGTTTTATATTTACACACGCTCTATCTCTGATATTGAGCACTTTATCCCATAAATATAGCACATCTTAAGACTATATTTCTTATATATATAAATATAAGCAGCATACTTTCATTCAGGGACGTTTGGGCGACTAGTGGTCTGCAAGTGGTAACATTGGCGAGACGAATACGCCATCGGTCCGAAAGTGGGCCACCAGCGGTAAACACTAGAGATACACCACCCGGCGGCAGATTGGTGGCTCGCATGTAGGAGAGTCACTATCTTGGAGGTTAACATCAGCCATGGTAATCGAAGGCAAAATGCGGTCTCTTAGATGATCAATAGAGAGCAGTTCTGTTTTGGAGCCGTTAAGATTAACAAGTCATTATTTTATAACAACGATTCGTTATGCTATATACCAGGGCTAGGCATTCTACGACACGCGTGCCACACACGGCACGCCAAGCAATTGCAATGGCACGCAGCCGCAAATGCCATCACGAAGTTCAAACCAATAACTGCTACAACGCAAAGAAGATATTTAGCTGCTTCAATTTTAATCTATACTAAAGTAGATAAACCCCGACACGAGTAAACAACTAACAAAAGAGCTCAATACAATCGTAGAGCAGACCTATATATATATATATATATATATATATATATATATAAATATATATATATATAAACCTAGTGAGCTAGACAAACCTACCCAGGTTTCACCTAAAGCTGGCTAAAGAGGCAAAAGAGAAACAGCATATTTATAGGCGATAGTCAAAATATACCACGTGACCAAAGAAAAAGAAAAAACACAAGAACACCTTTTAAATATTTATTCAACAACTAAAAAGGGAGGGGATATTAAATATTAAACTATCTACAGAGGAGAAATTAGCCATATAATCAACCTAACGATCTATTAAACTCTAAAATCGAGATTCTTAACATATGTAGGCATAGAAAATCTTGGTTATTGAATTAGGTCTAATCTCTCCATTTGTATTGTCTTTCCACCTTTATTGTTCGTGTTAATATCCCCTCCCCTTTTAGTCTTTTGAATAAATCTTTACCCCGCCCCGGTGTTCTTGTGTTTTTTCTTGTTTTTGGTCACATGATACGATTTTGATTATCGCCTATAAATATGGTGTTTCTCTTGCCTCTTTAGCCAGCTTCCCTGACGATCCGCTTAGGTGAAACCTGGGTAGGTTTGTCTGGCTCACTAGGTTTATATATGTATATATATATATATATATATATATATATATATATATATATATATATATATATATATATATATATAATTGGTATATGGAATGAATTCAACAACCAACAATTACTATTCTTAAAAGAGTGCTCAATACAAAGTAGATTTTATAACATACTTATGTTATAATTTTTTATAAATAATGATTATATCTGCTCTACTTTGTATTGAGCACTCTTTTAAGAATAGTAATTGTTGGTTATTGGAATTCATTCCATATATACCAATTATACACTTGGATAGTGATTTTATAAGATACTTATGTTATAATTTTTTATAAATAATATTTATATATATATATATATATATATATATATAGGTCTGCTCTACGGTTGTATTGAGCTCTTTTGTTAGTTAGTGTCGGTTTTTTTTCTTTGGGCATCAAATCTGTATCTGTGCTATTTTTTTTTCCACAGACTTTCATGTTTCTAGCTCTTTCTTTTTTTAAAACCTTTTTTTCCTTCGAGATTGATATGATTATTGGTAAATCAAAAATTCGAAGGTTTTTTGAAACGAGTATAGTTACCTATATTTGTATTTATATACTAAAGTATATATACTATATTGTTACCATATAAAATATATTGTAGGACAGGTATATTGATCTTGATTTGTATAAAAGTACGTATGCTATTGGCACACTGAATGATTTTAAAACCCTTAGTCGGTACATAGTTAGCAAAACGTTGCCGCAACCCTCTGTATATGCACTCATTGCTCTGTATTCCAAATATAGGAAGGAATTTCCATTTTTTCTGCAAGAACTGTTTGTGGAATCGCCTCCCGCTGAGATATTTTTTCTGAATACTACGGTAGCATTCTCTTCAGGTAAAGAGTTAATCGTTATCTATCCTTCTTATCCTGATAATCTCATCTTACATTTGTAAAACACACTTCAGAAACCATCAAACTTGAGTAGCTTTTTTCTTTGTTTTACGGCATATCAACATCTCAATGTGTTATTTACTGCCGACAATTTTATTGTTGGTAATATTTTTTTCGAAAAATATATTACAGGCAATACCCTTTTCCTCAAAAATGAATTGCCAGTAATAATTTTTATCTTCAAAAATGGATTGCTGTTCAAAAAAGTATTGCTGGTAATAATTTTTCCTTCAAAAATTTATTGCTGTTATTAAAAGCTATTTTTATACTTTCATAGTGTTTTAACCACAGTTTGGTGGTTAACTATTTGCCCATAGCTGGGACCCTAACAGGTGCTACCCCGGACCCCCCCGGCGCAGGATGGATCTGAAAACAGCAGCAATTAAGAGGTGGTTCCATGCTCATCCAAACCTCCTGATCAGACGCTTTACTATTGGATGTAATTCCTCGTCTTATCCAGGATGCGGACGGGTTTGTGGATTAACTATTTGCCCATAGCTGGGACCCTAACATGTGCTACCACTCCGGGTCAGGGTGGGCCTGGTAACACCAGTAATTAAGAGGTGGTTACAACGTCTTCAAAAACTCATCATCAGAGGCCTTGCATTCAGATGTAGTTATCGTCTTACCTGTATGCGTATATAGTTTATATTCATACCCAGGACGCGGATGTAGTTTATCGTCTTACCCAGGACGCGGATGTAGTTTATCGGCATACACAGGACGCGTATGTAGTTTATCGGCATACCCAGGAAGACCTTGAATAGCTTTTGAACTTTTATTATAAGTTTAATAAAAAGAAAAAAAAAGCTAGAATTTTATTGATTCTGACATTAATAAAGGAATTAGTTGACCGAATTTTATGTTTGAATGATGTCCTATTATTTACTAGAGTTCATCTTGTCTTGTTGATAAGCCGCTTGATTGTAAAGAGTTAGGCCTTGTTTTTATCTCCAAACGAAGGCTACGGTTTCATCATTTTTATACTGACGGAAAGATGTCTATAAAGGTAGAAAAAAACGCTTTGTCTGTAGAGTTCTGTGTATATATGTGTATGTGTGTGTGTGAAAGAGAGAGAGAGAGAGAGAGAGAGAGAGCGAGTGAGAGAGAAGAGTTTATCATGAAAATGATGAAAGAGGCGTTTGAGGTTGAGTCTTTCCAATTATCTGTCCGTCGTCATCGGGGCGTTCTATGGGTTGAGGGGTGGAAATGAGAAGAGAATGTAACTGGTTGCTGTACGAGGCAAATCCATTTGTCGCCAGCAATGAAGACGATGAATTATACATGAACGGATGTTCTGGAATGGAGATGAAACGACTGATAAGAACAGAAAAAGATATAAAGATATGACGATATTGAGATTGATAGTGTGACAGAGACGAACAGACTGAGATAGATAAATATTCAGTGTGTCACATTATTAGCTGTTTCATATTTTATCGATATGTATATATAAAATAAATACTTATTGGAAGATCAAGGTTTATTTGCTGAATGATAGCTAAGAAACGGCTGTCTGCGCAGTTAGAATCCAAATTCTGTTTGTTCTGCGCCGATGTAGTCAAACGGCAGCCATCTTTATGAAATGTCCTGAATTTTGAAGTCACAAATTAATAGCAATGTTGTGGATTCGGAGCTTTAAAATGAGTGGGAAGGCTGATTTCAAGCATAACAAGACATGTATGTAAAAGGTTTAAAAAAAAAAATAGTGGAAATTGGAAGAACGTTTAAGATCTAAGTTCGACAAAAACGAAGAACTGAGACGACGCCGGTGTAGATCTAAGAGAGAAATTTTGTGCCTTTTTTTTCTGTGATTATTAATTCCAAATAGGCGGCAAGGATAAATAGATAGATAGATAGATAGATAGATAGATAGATAGATAGATATAAGTGATCAGACAAACAGATATAGATAGTGAGACGTGAAAAGACATCTATCTATCTATCTATCTATCTATCTATCTATCTATCTATCTAGAGAGAGAGAGAGAGAGAGAGAGAGAGAGAGAGAGAGAATTAAAGCCAAAAGTAACTAGTCATCTATGGGTATAGCAATACATTTCTTAAATGTTTGTAGCAGCAAAGTTTACACACACACACACACACACATATATATATATATATAATAAATAAGGAAATACAAAAGTTGCCTCCGTTGCATGGAGAAAATTCTCGTGAATTTGAAATTGCTATAGAACGATAAAAAACGTAGTAAAACGAACAGTAAAAATGTTTTGAATTTACAGAAAGACGTATACATATACACAGACGATTTAACCCCCAGAAGATGGTCTCAGATGAGACTGAAAGTACTTGGGAAAATAAAAATAAAAATTGAAAGAAAATGTTGGTATTTTTCTTAATCAATTTTCTACGACTGCCCACAAATGATCTGTGAACTCGAAAGGATTAAAACAAAAATAAACAGACATAGTATGTCTAAATTATTTAACCAAATCTGTTGTAATATATATATATATATATATATATATATATATGAGTGAGATGTGAAGTGACTGACATAGATAGATACATAGATATGAACAGACGGAGACAGATCTCTCTCTCTCTCTCTCTCGGCCTCAGCCGAGATTGAACTCACCAATACATTGTCAAATAGCTGAATTCTTGATGCTTCGCTAGGGCTATCAAGGGTGTTTTTATCGTGACACCATCACTAAATGGATTGCCAACCAAGGCTCAGAGAGACTCCATTCACCCTCCTCTAAGAGCAGGTTTGAATTCAGAGTTTTCCTTCTCCTAGACCAGTTGCCATCCAAGGCTATAGAACCCAGTCTGTCCTGCTATTTACCCATAGCTGGAGGGGGAGAAGAAGAGGATTCCCACCTTTCCCAAGGGTGTTAGCACGTAAGTAAATGTAATGGATTCGACTGGAATTCGAACTCGGCTCTCCGATTTCTTCAATGCAAGCCGCTATCCATTACTCCACCGTGCTTCCTCTCAATCGATAGATAGACGTGAATAGTGAGATGTGAAAAGACTGACATCAACGAAATACTCGAAAAATTAATACAGCCTAATACAGATAGATAGATATGAAGAGATGAGATAGATATAAACAGACTTGATAGATAGAAAGAAAGAAAGAAAGAAAGAAAGAAAGAAAGAAAGAAAGAAAGTAAGTTAGATAGATGTGAAGAGTGAGATCTGAAAAAACTGACATGACGCAATTTTAATAACTAGCAGTAGAGCCCGGCGTTGCCCGGGGATGTAACAGTAAGAGAAAGATAAAGTATCGACCATCATAAAGACTGAAAAATAAAATTGACAAAGATTATTGTTTAAGGTTGACGGACACGCATGTCTTGATTAGTTTTTTTTTTGTTTTTTGTTTTTTTTAGGAATTGGTCAAACCCAAACTCAAACAAAAACATTGTTTTCAATCGTTATGAGTCTATCGATTGGTGAATAGAATTTTATTATCAACAATTGTCTTGTAAATGGAATTTTTAAAGCATTCTGAATGTAAAAATAAAGAAAAAAGTGTGCAAGACAATAAGAAACTACATGCCAAAAAAAGTGAAGTTTTGTTGAAATCGGTTGAAAAATGTAGGAAATCCGATCCCATATATAAACGAACACACACACACACACACACACACACACACACACACACACACACACACACACACACGCACACACATACACACACACACACAACCTGGGTTTTATAATAAGTATAACTCGATATGAGTTGTCATTTTATTCTCGTGATAGCGATGTCTCTTAATCGTGTTTTCAAATTGATTTCGTGCAAAAACAATTTTGTTTTTCTAATTTTTGGCGCTGTCAGAACCACCGCAAGGTAATTTTATGTAGTCCTGTGAAGTTTTGTTGAAATCGGTTGAAAAATGTAGGAAATCCGATCCAATATAGAAACGAACAGACACACACACACACACACAACCTGGGTTTTATAATTAGTATGATTAGTTTTCCGACTGAAATTTCTATTTCTGACGCTAACTCAATCCACACCTGGGTTGATAAGACAGTCGACCGATATCTTCGTCTGCCGAAATAGACTATTCCCCATATGGGGTGATTCTAAATTTTATTGTTTATCCATTATTTGTTCTGTAATAATAAATACATTGAACTCTTTTTGTGGATCAGTTTTAATATTTTATATTACTATGATTCACTAGGATTATATAACAACGGACGTGTTACCTATATATATATATATATATATATATATATATATATATATATATATATATATATGTAATTTGGAGAATTTTATCAATCGGGTATTTCAAAATTTTGCCGTTTTATGCATGGTATGGTGTAATTTGATAATTTTTTTTTAGGTGTGTATTTTTTCACTTAATGTTGTTTTACTTCAAGGGTATGAGCTTTCTTGGCGTTTGTTTGCGTTGTATGGTGCTGACCACTTACATGATATCTTACGCATCAATAAAAAGATACCAAATTACACCAAAGCATACATAACTACAGCAAAATTGAGAAATAACAGCTGAGAAGATAACAAGCCCTGAACATGTTATTTTGATGTGCTCACGTAACTACGTAGTAGGCATGACTAAACCAACACCACTCAGCTAAGTGATAAACATAAACTTCACCAAATTAATTCTATTAAGGCTCTATTCTAACTTTTGATATCGAGCACTTTATGACAAAAGGCTTTTCCACCCGGAAAAAGAACCAGCCATCCTGGTACTTCATAATATATATATATATATATATATATATATATATATATATATATATATAATTTAAATAAAAACAGACCACTTTAAGGTTCCATGTAATAAATTATTTCACCACAGCCCTTTAAAAGGACTGCGGATCATCAGACTTTTACTTCCAAACAAAAATGAAAAAAAATTTACACATTTTTAACGGGCCGTATTAAACATATGTAAATTAACGAAGTGAGAAAGTGAGGGGGTGAGAGAGAAGACATGAGTGAGTTAGCAGATATTGACACATTATACGTGTAAATTTTCTTTTTAGAATTTTATTATAAACAAATAGGTCAGAACCAGTGACATTGCAGATTCTTCTATTCATTTTATCAAAAATCTCTAAATATATAACAGGAGCAGCAGACCAGATGTGACAGCAATATTCAAAGCAAAGATGAATGGTAGATTTATAAATAAACTGTCCAACGGTGGGTAAGTGACTGATGTCGAGATGCCAGGTCAGGACTAATAACATTGCAGATACTTTAAATTTTATCAATAATCTCTAAATATATAGCAGGAGCACCAGACCAGATATAGCAGCAATATTCAAAGCAATGAAGAATGTTATACTTATATATATATATAAAATTCTAGCAAGAAAAACTCGCACGACACAGAGAACTAGACTTAGCAATGGATAGGATATTTCCACTTCATATCAGCGGAAAAAGTTAGTCAGAGAAGACGCACTGAATTACTATCCTGGAGGTTAGCATCAGTAAAAAAAAAAGAAAGAAGTAAAACAAATTATTAGATTGTGGCCATGTGGTTGGAACGTTCGCTTTTCTATCCGTGGTCAATTTGTCAGAGAGGGTGACTTGTTGAAAATATCGGCCCTTCGATGCCAGCCCGTCGTCTTTGGAAAATCATCATGACTGAGGCTTTGAGTGTACAGGTCTTGTTCCAGAAACCACGATCACGCCATATAGTACGCGCTCTTCCAGAAAGTAACTCTTGTTTGCTCAGCATAGAAGCATTATAACCCACAGGTTGACTCTGTGAGTTGAACAGGCGCCTGTAATAAGGATTGGCTATCTACTCTGGTAGACATTCGGCCATTATATAAGGTGTCTCCTCCACTTCAACGTATATTTAGGTTCAGAACAGAAGACGGAAATTGCGGAAAATCAGAAGAAGCATTGACATAGAGAAAGGTGACATCCAAAAGTGAAGAAAAGTATTAAAAAAAAGAAAATTTTTATAAGAATAAAAGAAAAGAACAATGAAAGGATATTTAATGTCAGTCCTCCGATATGACAGTGAATGCTGGACAATCTCCTCACAGATCAAGAAGAGATTTGAAGCAAGAGAACTAAAGAAAATGTACTGAACTGTTATGTAATATCAGTCCTCCTATATGGCTGTGAATGCTGGACAATCTCCTCACAGATGAAGAAGAGACTTCAAGCAACAGAAACAAAGAAAAGAGTTCTGAACTGTTATGTAATATCAGTCCTCCTATATGGCAGTGAATGCTGGACATCTTCTCCAGATGAAGAAGAGACTTGACAGATAAAGAAGAGACTTGAAGGAAGGAAACAAAGAAAAGATTACTGAATTGTTATGTAATGTCATTCCTCCTATATGGCAGTGAATGCTGGACAATCTTCTCACAGATGAAGAAGAGACTTGAAGCAAGAGAACAAAAAAAAAACAAAGAAAAGTGGACAATCTCCCCACAGTACTGAATTGTTATGTAATGTCAGTCCTCCTATATGGCAGTGAATGCTGGACAATCTCCTCACAGATGAAGAAGAGACTTGAAGCAAGCGAAACAAAGAAAAGTGTACTGAATTGTTATGTAATGCCAGTCCTCCTATATGGCAGTGAATGATGGACAATCTCCTCACAGATGAAGAAGTGTCTTCAAGCAAGAGAAACAAGAAAAAGTTCTGAACTGTTAAGTTTAATATAATTGTTTGGCAGTGAACAATGATTATGAAGAAGAGATGGAAGCAAACAAAAGAGAACTGTTTTAATTACAGTGAATGCTGGAAACTCAGATAAAAAGAGATAAACAAGCGAAACAAAGAAAAAGATTACTGGATAACCATGATCTTCCATATGGCAGTGAATGTGGACACGACACATAGCAAGGACAAAAGAAATGTTCAAAATTGTTTCATTGATAAATAAAGCAAAGAAATTAAGGAAGGTGAAGAAAGAAAGAAAGAAGCAAATAAAGAGAGAACGTAAGAAAGGTAAAAAAGAAAGTACGTTTGGAAAAACAAATAAATAA